ATGAAATTTCTTCCAGTAGGCCAGTTTCAAACACATATGATTACTAAATGATTATAAGGTGTGCACTTTGTTATTTTACTACACATATGGGTGTAAGATAAATATATACGTCAACTCAAATACTTATATATATATATATATATATATATATATATATATATATATATATACATATATACATACATATACATACAAATACATGAATATATTCATATTTAAACAAACATTAATACATACATAAATACTAAATATAATATAAAGTCATAATTAAATATATAAACATATATACAGACACACATACATACATATATGTACATGCACATATTTGTAACAGTATAGTACATATCACAGATTTGAGACTTACACAGAAGACAGCGATAAATAATGTTCTTTCACTCGTTTTTTGAATAATGTCAGTGTTTTGATTTCTCGAATATCAGTAGGAAGCGAATTCCAGAGTCTTAGTGCTTGTACGGAGAATGAACGGGAATATGAATGAGTATTAAAGGATGGAGGATCTTATTTTTTGTCGAACCGTCGGGGATTCTCTATGAAATCAGTCAGCTGGCCAATTTGATGTCCTATCCCAAATTTCCCTACTTTCAGCTCACCATTATTTCTTGTGCCTTATTTTACGTTGAAGTCTCCCATTTACACCATATAATGTGTTTTGGAGGAATGCATGGTTCTAGAAATATCCTCATACATTTCCTCCACTTCCTCATCTTGATGAGCCGAGGTTGATGCGTAAACCTGTATGACCTTCAGCGAACCGTTTGAAGATTCTGAGTATAAGGTACGCAATCCTCGTCGACACGCGCCCAATCAAATCAATCAAACAACGTTGTTAACGAGAAACTTGTGGACGATAAATCCGACACCTCCTTGGAACAGATGGTCGCCCTCCCGCTGAAAATACAAGTAGCCGGATTCGAGAATCACTGTGTCCTCCCCCTCATTTCGCGCCTCGGATATTCCTGTAATATTCCAGTGCAACTTTTCTATCTCTTCTTCCAGCTCCAGGATCTTTCTCGTCAGTCCTCAGGATGCGTGCGTTGTATGTTGGCAGGTCAACCGAACCTCCACTGTCTTGGTCCATGGTCGCCACCGTAGCCAGAAATAGTGGAGCCGTCGGGGACTGGGGGCCGTTTATTTGTGTCTTTTCTCATGGAGTGGGGGGGTAAATTGCCATAGTTGCCAAGCTTGGCGAGCGGGTTGGCAACCGCAGTTCAACTGCTCAACAGGCACACAAACGAAGGAATTTTGAACCGCATTGTTTTATGCGACCTAAAACGAAAAATGGATTCTGTTTGACAATCGCATGCGCTCAGCAAGTTCGTTGGATTCTGGTTCATCACCTAACAATGCTCTAAACGAAAACTTACCCCTAGAAAAGTGATGATCACTGTTCGATGGTCTGGCGCCGGTTTGATTCATCACAGCTTCTTATTAATTTCTTATTATTCTTATTATTGAAAGGGATGAGCACGGCAGATGAATACTGTGAAAAACTAAACAAAATGATGAATAAGCTCGCACTACTCCAATCAGCATTGGTCAATCGCTTGTCCTCGCTGCTGGTCCTGCACGACAACGCGCGACCTCATATTGCACAACAAACGATCTCCAAGTTACAAGAGCAGGGGTTGGCAGCTCTTCGTCACCAGCCGCATTTAACAGACTGCGCCTACAGACCTCTACTTCTTCCAGAAATTGGATTATAATTTTTGGCGAAAAAAATTCAATACCCAAGAGCCAGTACAAAATGCATTTGAAGAATTGGTTCCCTCCCGTCCAGCTGATTTCTACAAGAATTCAGCTGTTTCTTTTTCATCTTTTCCGTTTAATCAACAAACTGTCACTGCGTTATCAAAGATGAATAGATTGCATGGGTGATTAATTTGATAAATAGATATAAATAAAAAATATGGAAAAAATACGTTAATTTATTTCATAAAAACAGGAAATTCCATAGGTAAACACCTAATATATATACATCGTAACAGTACTAGGAGTATATGATGAGAATATTGGTTGGTTAGTTGAGGGTGGGGTGACGATCTGGCGAAAGATGAACGAAGTCGATGGATACACTTGGCTCGGGGCCGTGCTTTATAGCATTCCTTGGTATCTATGTGCAGTAGTGGACTTTTAATAGGCTGATGATAGAGATAATGATGATAATTACTTTTCACTGTAACTCCAAGTCTGGCTGCAAAACATGGCCATGTCACGTCGTGGAGAGGCGGATTGCTTTAGAGAAGATGTTGTTCCCGACCTTCAAGAGGAGCATCCTCGAATGTGTGGAGGAGTCTAACGTCAGCCCTAACTCGGTGCTGCAAATTACATCTGGCAACTGGAACGTGGTATGTAAATACCTACATATGGATGGCATTCGTGAAACTTTAATACAATAAGGGTGAGAAACGAGTACACCATCCGCTTAGACACAGACCTACATAAATTTGCGATTAGGAATCGAAATCCAAATGCGTTGCCACCCCAGAGGACTCTGACTCGTTACCAGTAAAAAGGGTATCAGATTCTCGTCACAGATTACAAAGTACTATCGCCACTCTTTTTTTACTGATAAGGGTGATAAACGAGCACACAGTTTTTCTACATGATGATACCTTCGATTAAGTATCAAAATACAGATACACTGTCACCCCTGTGGCACTAAGAAAGGTGGAATACCTCTTTTTATATTCTCACCATAGAAAACACAGCAGCGTTAAGCTGCTATTTTACGTGGTATTTCCCGGTCGAGCCGAACCATTCGTGCTACAACCATATTATAGCAGCTGCGCAGCGTGGTTCTATAGCGTAAAACCTCAGTCAACACCAATTTTCTGTATATAATATAATATAATAATACACCTGATGGTTAGTGGATACTGCAGCCTATAGGCAGTGCAACCAATTTCTTGCAAAGAACGCTACAGATTTGTCGTCATCTCTGAGTACTACATCTGAGAGATGGAATACTGGCTCTCGATACCTTTCAGATCGGAACTCAGTGCCGGATTAAGCAGTGCGGGGCCGGAAGCAAATTACATCGCGGTTGATTTGCTATAGGTTTTTTAAGTATAAACTGGTAAAAAAAATTCAATACTCAATAAGCTTATTTGCGATCTATGGGTTATAAATTTCGTGGTGTTTAATAGTACAGTAGTTTACTATAGGTCCTGTTAGACTCTGGCAAGTACAAAAAGTCAGACGTGAGATTGTCCTGGTAATTTAATTTTTTTTTTCAATTTAAAAGTGACGGTAGTAACAAATAATTGTAAATGTTTTTAGTACATATTTCAAAGTTTATATTTTTAACAAAATATATTATATTTTCTGGAAAAACTAATGTTATATTTTATTAATGGAGGACTGAAATTAATAAGCTGATACTGGGGTGCTCCGACGCAGAGATTATAACATTATTCCATAAGAGGCCGAATCCGCGCTTTGTAGAGTTGCAAGCGATAGTCCGGCATGAAATCCCGTCTCCATCTACTGAGCACTCTAAGTTTTTTTCATAGTGCCTACGAAACTGTACGTCTCTAGAAATATCGACGCCAAGCATTTGAAATGCTGGTTGTGGTAATGAGAGGAGGGCCCTGTAATCGAGGAGATATGACAAAGGGGGTATTTTTTGCGGTAAACGCGCAAACCTGAGTCTTTTGGGGATTAAACTTTAGTCACCCCAATCCGAGACTTTGTTCAACAAAGACTCGACTTCGTCGTGTAGGTAGCACGCAGCCTTGTGGACCACCAGCATTCACAGGCTTGAAGTCGAAGCATATAACCTTAATACTCTGATCTGTAAGAAAACTAGTGACCCAATTGCATAATGTCCCGTGAAACCCATAAGAGGGAAACTTTGAAAGAAGCGCTTTGTGCCAAACCCGATCGAAGGCCTTCGCTATGTCTAAACCACCATGGACTCCCCCTTGGTCTCGACTTCCTCCACCCATCAGTTATCGGTGAGTCGAGTAGACAAAAGACCACCAACTGAGTAACCTCGACGGAAACCCTATTGACGGTCACTAATCATCTGATGCTCTTAGAGGTACCGCATAAGCTTATAGTTAAAAATGGATTTCATTACTTTGGAGAACAAGTACGTGATAGCGTGGGACGGGTCCGAGCGGTCACCTTTTTTAGGCATCGTGTGCACTGAGGCTGTATTCCATGATCATCTAGGGAGAAGATAATCCATGGGTAGGATGCAAAAAAAACCTCACATGCCATCTCAATCTGCCGATCTATAGCGGCTGCAGCCTACAGCACGATCTGAGTAGTAATTGCTACGAATCCCGCGCAAAGCGGGCACCGCGTAATCAAGCATCTCATCATCGCCTAAGCGTACTTTTTTAAGTAAAACTTATTACGACGGTATATTCGGTTTACTTGAGGTCACATAAACGTGAAACGTTGCAAATGACAATCGGTAAACGATTATTTCATTGGCGGAAATGAAACACAGAATTTCATACGGTAAACTCACAAGTTTCATCACTTGGCTCGGTTCTGATCAAAGGTCTGTTTACGGCTTTGCCTTGGCATATGGTCTGACACAATTGATGTGGAGGATCATACACGTTCCCTGTTGGACCTTTTGCTGACCACTCATCCGGACTATCTATCAGGTCAGGCTATCAGGTCTCTGTCGATGCCCCTCTTGGCTCTTCGGATCATTTACTAATCCGGAGTACAGTGTCCACCGCTTGCTTATTACAGGCTCGTGCCGGAACACACAGCTTGGAGGCAAAAATAGTTAATCGTGTGATACCCACACATACCAAACTCCTGCTCCTACCATAGTTTGTGACTGAGGACTAAGATGCTTCTAAATGTATTCCCACACACTTTTCACATCGGAAAACAACCGAGAATACGCATTTAGTATCTATGAACTATACAAAAAATCAGCAAGCAGTAAAACCATAATTATTCTATTCAAAATTAAAAAATGCCGGTCTGTACCCGAAATTAAATTATTCCAGATGGCAGAATATAATTTAAAAGCGTGGGCGCTCTGCCTGCTTCGCAAATCCAACATGATATCTAAGGAAGGTGTGTTTCATTTGGACGTCGCGCTTGCCGGAATTCCAGATAAGGGTAATATTTCCTTTTAAACCATAGTTTCTGTTGTACATTACATTAAGGAATACAAAATTCACATTCACAGTGGTTACGAGCCAGGTGGCGTAGTTCGTCAAAATTGCATAAAAATGTAGGTATTTATATAGGTACCCATCTATATAACTACGCCACAACCTTCAGTCAAAGCCGAAAGCTTAAAACCATATGGCAGTCAGTTCAAAATTGTCAAATGAATACCTAATGTAAATGATTTTAAATTAAAAGTTTATATTGACTGTATAATATCAAAGGTGACTCCTTTTATTTCTATAATTCGAACTAGAAAGTAAAAATTGCGTCGCCAAGTCCATCACATTTATACCTAACTGATCGTTCAATTTCGGCGCTTACTAGAGAAACCAAATGCCGGCCAAATGGGCCGAAGTTGTGGCTGAAGGTTTCGCCGAAGACAGTTTTTTTCGCCGAAAAAGCCGAAGCCAAAGCTCGTACACTAATAAATATGTTATGCTAGCGCCAACTTACAAGTTTTATTTTATTTTACGTTTCAGAGAGAATCGCCGTTGAAAAAAAAATCGACGAATGTCTATATGTAAAGGAGCGTAAACCTGAAGAAATAGCTTGGCATTTTCTCAAATGTTACCATCAGGACAACCCAAAACATTCTTACATGTAAGAAAGATTGAGTCATGAGTTGATGTTTAATTTTTTTAAAGTGCCATCTGTTGTGCAAAATAAATATAAATTAAATTATAATTTCTTTTTCTGTCATCTAGACACAAAATTAAAGAACAAATGCAGTATACAACTTAATTCTAAGAAGTCGTCTCGCATCATACCGCTAGGTGGCCCTTTTATGTGTTTTTACATCAACACGTCCTAAAATAAAACTGCACAAATACAGTATAGAACTTAATTCTAAGAAGTCGTCTTGCTATTATACCGCTAGATGGCACTTTTATGTGTTTTTACATCAACACGTATTAAAAAAAAGCAAACTCACATTTATCTCACTAATAACAAAAATATGTTAATTTGTAGGTAAGTAAATAAAAAGACATTTATTTATTAATTTATTCGTGGCTTTTATGCATACGAATAAAAAATATGTAAAAATCAATATTAAAAACGTTGTGTATTGAGGGCTCTCCACGACTTTGTTCGCCACCAGGCAACGCCACATAGGAATGAAATGAAATATTTGGCAGATTTCATAACGGGGAAGTTAAAGTTAAGAAAATGTAAACCAATGTTTCTTTCTATAATATTGGCTATATTTTATATTAATTGGGTTAAAAATAAATAAAGCAATCTACGGATAATCCATAAAGTAGAAAAATTAAACTAAAGTCAAAAATATGAAAAAAATAAAGAGCATACCACTCAGGCATTGTTTTGAATATTAATAGAATATTTTAGAAACTGATCAACTATTATTATAAAACTAACTTCTCAATTATATTACATTGTGTAACAAAAACTTCACCTCGATCGCAACTAGTGACATCTTGTGAGCGGCAGATTATTATCCTTCATTTGTCACCGCAGTTTCCGTCCCCATGTTCTATAATTCGTGTGAGGAAATCCAATCTTGTAAACCAGAGCAGAATGTAAACGGATAGTAGGTAGAATAATATCTAACACCTACGGCGTCTAGGACAAAAGAATTAAAATTAAAAATCTATTTACATCTTACGTATTTATTTTTTATACGTGGTAGAGCCATGCTGCAGTTATATTAGTAGTATAGTTGTAGCACGAATGGGTCGGCTCGACCGGGGAAGGACCACGCTCTCACAGAATACCAGCGTGAAATAGTAGCTTAATGCTGCTGTATTTCGTATGGTGAGTGTAGAGAACCGGTGACCCTTTTTACTGGAAACGAGGCATTCCATCTTAGTCCTCACGGGTGACAACGCATCTGCATTTTGATTCGTAATCGAGGATAGATGTAGATGTCTATGGGCCACAGCAACCACTTACCATCAGGTGGACTGTGTGCTCGTTTGTCACCCTATCCTATAAAAAAAAAAAATTATCTTATGTAATCTTATGAAATCAATACATAACGTTGAACGTATAGTTGAAGTAAAAAGTGTTAAAAGCCTTAAGGGGAAATATAACCTCAAATGGCTTAGCAAGATCCTCCGTTATGCCGAAAGTATTGCAACATTAATTTTGAAATAAATATATGGTAAAGTTGAGGATTAATGTTAAGGTTTATGTTAGACGAAAACACGATTCCGTAAAATTTTCTCGATAGAAAAAAAATCCAAAGTTACCTCCAAACTGAACAATAAACCGCTGTTGGTTCCTGTCGCTCCGCAGGAACCAGCTTACGCGCCGATAGTTTAGGTAATTTCTTTTTACAGTGAAAATAATGATATTTAAAAAAAAAAGTAAATAACATAAGCACTGCTTTATGGTTAGTTCAGTTAGTATGCAAAGTTTCATGATCTTATTTAAAGTATTTTATGAATAACAGCGGTTTATTGTTCAGTTTGGAGGTAACTTTGGATTTTTTTTCTATCGAGAAAATTTTACGGAATCGTGTTTTCGTCTAACATAAACCTTAACATTAATCCTCAACTTTACCATATATTTATTTCAAAATTAATGCTGACAATACTTTCGGCATAACGGAGGATCTTGCAAGCCATTTGAGGTTAGTATTTCCCCTTAATAAGAAACACAGTTTTCGTGATCATCTTGTTGGAAATTGTTAGCAGAGCTGGGAAAATATTTGATAAGAAGAAACAATTTCCTTTTTCAGGATATCCTCGTTATATTGTAGATTGTTATAGTTTTTTGCTCTTAGTTTCTGATTCGCCACTACTTTGGTTCCACCACTTCTTCATTAGGCCTCATTTCGGAGACCAAAGACAGAGAAGATACAGAAACGTGAGTTTTGACTTTTGATAGCCACAAAAAAAAAACGGTAAATTCCGACTATTAATAATATAAATAATGGTTTATTACATTATTATACATAGTCATTGCATGGCAGAGTGAGCGTGAGTGACGCGAGCCGAACTTGTCCGACTTCAGCCGAGCCGAGCCGAAAGCGAGAGAGCCACCTTCCCGTTGTCATGTTATTCTCAAAAAATAAAACTATACGTACTTTGTTTAAACTGAGTGATTGTTTACGAGTAATTTTAGTTATTGTAATCATCGGCTTATTATTCCAATGTTATCATGGCACCACCAAAATAATAATATGGACACATTTTACTAAAACAAATGAAACGGTTGCAAAATGTAAATAGTGTTTTAAGTCTGTGAAGTATTGTGGCAATACGTCCAATTTATTCAAGCATTCTAAAACTCATGGAATTACTTTGGATAAAGGCAAATTACATAAAAAAGCAGATAAAGGTACCATCGCAAGGTAGGATCCTAAACGTTTCTTTTTTGCGATTGCTTTCCTAAAATGTAAATGTAGAAGTAGTTAGTAAAAAAGTAGATTCCTTTTTGTATAAAAATTAAGTTTTGTATCCAGCAGTGGCACTGTGATTGTCTATAGACTGATGATATATGATATGATTTGATGACGGACGATGAGATAATTCGTTTGTATGGATACGATTTATACAAAGGTTATGTGTTTGTTATTGTTGTGTTGGGATTATCGATTCTTTGTAGATTATCGATCTATCGAGTGTTAATTTTTACTCTTATGTTTCAGTTCAGAAAATACAATAACATTGGCCAGCTCAAAGCATTTAATGGAAGATGATCATTCTCAACCATCAACATCAAAAATTTCAGAAGATCACGATGATGGTTCTTTTGTAACCACATTGACTAGTATTATGGACACGAAGATTAGAAATGAGTCTTTACTGAGCAGTTCAATAAAAGATGCATTTGATCGAGTTTCATCTAATAAAGATAAAGAAATAAATAGTTAAAAAATTAGTAATAGAATTATATTATTATAAATTAGTTATCGGATTAGTAAGCTGAAGTGGCAATGGGCCGGCCATATAGCTCGAAGAACCGATAACCGATGGGGAAGAAAGGTTCTCGAGTGGCAGCCTCGTACCGGTAGGCGTAGTGTAGGGCGACCCCCCACTAGATGGAGTGACGACCTGGTAAGACATGCAGGAAGTCGATGGATGCAGGTGGCTCAGGACCGTGCTTTGTGGCATTACTTGGGGGAGGCCTATGTTCAGCAGTGGACTTGTGAAGGGCTGTAATGATGATGATGATGATGATGAAATTAATTATCTTAGTAGGCTTTGACCATCTGTTCCTAGGCCCACCCTACACGTGTCCCCCGGGTGGTGCTAAATGAGCGACAAGCCGATACCACAGACTCGGCTCCACGCCGTGGTAGCGGCGTTAAATATACCACCCCATTTCGCACCATGAGGAATCGAATTAAAGAAATGAAGAGGGGTGCGAAGAATCTCCGGGAGGAAAACCGGCGACGAGGTTCGCCACCCGTCACGTTCTGTCTCTCGGAGAGGCGAAAAGTGGATTGCAGAGGCCCGTCTGGCTACGTTGAATGTATGTGGGACAATGAATGATAAAATGGATGAAGTATGCGATATGATGTATGATAGATGAATAGATGTGTTATGCGTAAATGAGACGAAAAGGAACGGGAAGGATGTCACTACACATGGCATGTATACCGCATACTGGTCTGGTGTAGACGAGATCGAGCGGGCATGCCAGGGAGTAGGTATCATCCTTTCAGAAAGAATGGGCCAATGTGCCTGCTTCTGTTATGGATAATTAAATTTAATCTGCTATGGATACGAATGAAAGTGGGCTTAAAGAAGTTGTTTGTGTTAGGGGTCTACGCCCCAGACATGTCTAAGCCCACTTATATCCGAGAGCAGTTTTGGGAAATGGTAAGGATGGTGTTAATGAACTGTAAGGGAAATGAAAATATTATTATGCTAGGAGATTTTAATGGAAGGGTTGGGGTCAGGAGGCTTGGTTATGAAAGGATATTGGGAACGTTTGGTGATGAAAGTATAAATGAGAATGGTGAAAGTCTCCTCACCGTATATATGGAAAAGAATATTATTGTGACGAACACTTGCTTTCGCCACAAGAGGATTCACATGTATACTTGGGAAAGAGGTGACGATATAAGCATGATAGATTTCATAATTGTGGATGAAAGATTGAGGGGCGCAGTGGTAGATACGAGAGTTTACCGGGGTTCTAACGTAGGAACGGATCATTATTTAGTTTTATGCCGAATTAATGGTCTATTCAGGCGTTGGCGCCATCGATCGTCTGTGTCTACCACTGCGTTACAGCGTATTAGAACAGAAAGGTTACAAGATGAAAGTGATAAAAACAAGTTCAAATGTAGACTGAAAGAAAATATAAGTGGTTTGGATGAATTATGTATGAAGGACTTGGAGTATATGTGGCAAAATGTAAAGAAAAGTTTAGTGGATGCAGCTACCGAAGTATGTGGTGTTAGTAAGAGAAAGAATGAAAGGAAAATAATACGTTATGGTGGGATGATGAGATACGTATGGAAGTTGAAGCAAAGAAGAGAGCATGGCTAGATTTACTAGCAACAAAGGCTGCTAATTCTAGTGGTACGAATGGTGATATTGAAAGAAAAAAGGCAGTCTTTAGACATCTTAATAAGAGAGTAAAAGAAGTAGTTGAAAGACAAAAGCAAGAAAGAACGGATAAGAATGATAGAAGAATATCGGATAACTTCCAGGCAAATATTAAAATGTTCTGGAAACTTGTAAGAACTGTCAGGGGACATTCAAAACAGCCTATGATGAATGCTATAAGAGACGAGAATGGCTATATTCTGAATGATGAAGTTTTGAGTTTAAAGAGATGGAAGGAATATTTTGAAAGCGTGTTTATGAGTGAGGAGACAACGTGTGTACTAAGTGAAGTAGAAACACCGAAAGAAGAGGAAAGAGGTAGCGAGATAAGTATAGATGAAATAATGAAAGCAATGAAAAGCATGAAAGCAGGTAAGGCTGCCGGATATGATAGAGTTTCACTCGAAATGCTACGGGCTGGAGAGGAAGTGGTGGCAGGCCTGCTGCACACCTTGTTTAATTTATGCTGGGAACTGAAGCGGGTACCGGTAGACTGGTGCAAAGCCGTGATAGTCCCAGTATATAAAGGAAGAGGGTCGCAGCAGGACTGTAAAAACTACCGTGGCATCAGCCTTCTTAGCATTGTGGGAAAACTGTATGCTAAGGTACTGATTGAAAGGGTCATGAAAGAAACTGATGGAAAAATTTGGGAAGTGCAAGCGGGATTTAGAAAGGGAATAGGATGTACAAATCAAGTCTTTTCCATGCGCATGATCGCGGAGAAGTTTCTGGCCAAAAACCAAAAGGTTTTTTGTGCGTTCATGGACGTGGAAAAGGCCTATGACAGAGTGGATAGAGATTTGCTATGGCAAACACTGAACTCATTTGGGTTGAGCGCTGGCTTGATACAGGCATTGGAGTCTCTTTATAGGGACTCTAGTGCTTGTGTTAGGATCAACGGAGTCTACTCGGACTGGTTTGACATCCATAAAGGTGTCAGACAGGGCTGTGTGGCTTCCCCGTGGCTGTTCAACCTATTTATGGACAGTTGTTTGTAAAATTTGAAAGTTGAAGAATGCGGATTAAGAATGGGTGAGTTAACCGTCAAATGCCTTTTGTACCCCGATGATCAAGTTATTCTTGCGTCGTCGGCGGCCGAGTTGCAAATGATGGTTACATTAATGAACGGATCATTAAAAGAAAGGGGTATGAAAGTGAACGCAAGTAAGACGAAGGTTATGGTTTTTGAAAGAGAAGAAAGTAAAACGATTTGTGAAATAAGAATGGAAGGGGAGTTGATCGAGCAAGTAGATGAGTTTGTATATTTGGGCTGCGTATTTAGCAGGGATGGGAGATATGATAAGGATATAGAACGACGAGTGAATGCGGGAAATAGAGTGAATGGGGCCTTGCACTCTATTGTGAAGTGTCAAAATGTGTCGAAAAAGGCACGTATGGCAATTCATAATGCTGTTGGTCCCTACTTTAACGTATGGTAGTGAAAATTGGGTGTGGCCGAAGAAGCACGAGTGTAGAATAAACGCAGTAGAAATGCGGTCGTTAAGGAGTATGTTAGGGCTGAATCTGAATGACAGGGTAAGAAATTGTGTAATAAGAGAAGAGTGTGGTTTGCAAGATGATGTTGTGACCAGGATTAAGAAAGGAATGCTTCGGTGGTTTCGTCATGTGGAAAGAATGAATGAGGAAAGAGTGACAAAGAAAATTTATGGCGCAGAAGTGAATGGCAGAGTCGGAAAGGGACGTCCTAGGCGAAAATTTATCGACCAAATTGGCGATTTATTGAAAGCGGGCCAAATTAGGAGTACCCTTAACCGACGAGCATGTATGCGTAGGTGTATGGATGTGAAGGAGGCAAGAGAGGTGTGTCAGGATCGTGCCAAATGGAAGTCTGTAGTCTCTGCCTACCCCTCTGGGTGACAGGCGTGAGTGTTTATGTTTATGTATGTAATTATCTTAATATTATTGACAAAAATGTAAATATTCAATTTAATATAACAAATATAAAATTAATTTCTTTATTTTCAGCTGGTGGTACGAAGTATAGAATAAGTACGAAATACAGAATTGTTCAAGCATTGATATTTTTTATCTGTAAAGATATGCGTCAATTTAATATAGTTGAAGGTGAAGGTTTTTAATACTTGTAAAAGAACTGGAACCTACTTTTAAAGTTCATGGTGCAAAATATTTAAAGAAAAGGACTACCGAAAAGTACGAAGCTTTTGTTACTATTTGTAAGTCCAAATTATCCAAAATAGACAATTTCTGTTTAACGCTAGACATATGGACAGAGACAGTGAATGAAGTAGGATTCATGGGCGTCACCATACATTTTGTAGAAAATGGTAAAATGTGTATGTATTATCTTGCAACTCGTGCATTAAATGAGCGACATACAGCTGATTATATATCGGAAAATCTGCTTGATATTTTGAAAAAATGGGATATTCCACTCACCAAAATTCGTGCGGCTGTAACAGATAATGCTAGTTCAATGTTGGCTGCCATACGAATGTCTCTTGGCGAAAAAAAACATTTACCGTGTTTTGCGCATACTATAAATCTTGTAGTTGAAGAGGCATTAAAGTTATCTAGTGTTAATTCAGCTATTATAAAAGTACGAGAAATTGTTAATTGGATAAAAAATATGTCGGATAAGCTACGAAAAATCCAAATGCGTAATAATGTTTCGGAAGAATCAGTTTTAAAACTTATTGAAGATATAAGAACTAGATGGAACTCAACTTTTTTTATGTTAGAGCGATTCCTTAAGTTAAGAATAGTAATATCAGAAATTGTAATTGAGAGTGAGGCTCCAAATTTGCCAAGTGCTGTGGAAATGGAAACTTTGAATGAGCTTACAGCTGTTTTGAAGCCTTTTGAATACGTAACAAGAGAATCATCCGGCCAAAAGTATGTAACAATCTCCAAAATTATACCAATGCTTAATTGCTTAACTACGAAACTGAATAGTATAACTCCAAACTCTGCTATCGTAAAAGAATGTAAGGATGTTTTATTGAGAGAGCTGAAAAGGAGGTATGGGATGATTGAATTAAACGACCATGCGGCCATTGCTACACTTTTAGACCCAAGGTTTAAAAACTTGCATTTCCAAGACCCCTCTGCATGCGGAAGGGCTATTCAAAAACTTAGAACCATGGTTGTCGGACAATTAAGTAGCCCAAGTGAGTCAGAAGATGATGTCTCATCTATTGCACCACCTGAATATGATTTTTGGAAACATCATAAGGAGTTAGCACATGGACACAAGAAGAAAAAGAAATCTCATCAGGGAGATGAAGTTTCTCTTTATTTATCAAATGCAGTAGTTTCTCTTAAAAGCAACCCATTTGCAGAATGGGACGACATGAAATTTGTTTTTCCTTGTCTGTACAAGTATGCACAGCAGTATTTAATAGTTGTGGCAACGTCAGTTCCGAGCGAGTGCCTCTTTTCCAAAGCCGGTGCTACAATGTCTCACACAAGGAACAGATTGTCTCCGAAATACCTGGAACAGGTACTGTTTTTGGGCAATCTAGATTTCAAAGAGTTTTTTGTTTAAACTTTAAACAAAAAAATCTTTGACATTATGGCGCGGTTATTCAGAAAAGGTGGCTGGAAAAGCAGTGTATTCAAAAAAAAATAAGACTACTTTAGAAATAAAAAACTGTGTAATAGTAGAGGTATTTAGAAAGAGTTGTTTGACGTTTATAATAAAAGATATTTTTTCCTTGTCAATTTTGTTTTAATTATTGTTCTTCAAAGTTCATTGTTTTTACGTTAGTAAAAAAAAATTTTTGCTAAAAGTATCGATATCAGTAAGTATCAATACTTTAGGAGTATTTATATAAGTAGTATCGATAAAAGATTTGAGTACTATCGAAATGAGTAGGTATCGATACTTTGATGGTATCGGAACATCCTTAATTTTTGTTGTCGATAAGCGTTATCGATAGTGTACCTATTTAGTTTTGTCATTATGTGGGTTAATAAAAATGAAAAAAAAATAGATATAGTAAAAAAAAATAGAGATATAGTACCTGCCTTCGATGATTCATTTGTTGTTATCGATAATGGCGTTGCGCCCATGCAACATGTTTTCCGCCCTAGCCAGGCTGAGGTCGAGCTACGATTTATCACCCCAACTGCACGAACAAAATAATTTTACTATAGTTAATTCTATTTTTGAGTTTAAAAAAATACATAACTTTATGGTTCACCATCGTTTTACTTTCTTTTACTACCCAGTAAAAGAAATATTCAGTTACTGTTAAATAAAAAACTGGCAATAACGTATCAAAATAAATTTTATTAAATTTTACGTAGGCGTAACTCTAAATTATTCTAAAAACATTAATGTAAAATTATTTTTGATTGAGCATTACTGGCATGTAATTGTAAAAACTTAAAGACTAATAATGTAGTTGTACGTTGTCCTATAATTATTTATTCATAAAAATGTATGATTTAAATGACATAGAATTTTAAAACTTTGGAAAGTTATATCTCAAAACAACGTTTTTGAGTTAATTTATGGTGCGTTGGGGTAATACCGGACGGATTTTCGACTAGTTGAAAGAGTAGCAAAAACTCTACTTTCTTCATCATTATATATGTACTACGCACTATATTTGGCATTACGAACACTCAAAATGTTCAACTGAACTGTACTGCAATCCGTACACCTGTTATTGTGGCTTCGATATTCATGCAGTGTGGAGCGGCACTAATAATACGAAAATTGAATTAGCACATATGCAAAAAGCAAAAATTAAAAAATGTACTCGATTAACAATTCAATCTAAATAAACAAATTTTTATTATGATAAATTTCGCGCTGCGCATGCGCGACTCTACTGTTGTACCAATGCATGCACGGATACAGAGTAGGTGCACATTTTTTGTTTGGAATAGCTTCTCTAGTACGTAGTACATATAACTCAATAATTTTCTTGACATCCATATACGTCAGATTTCCTACCTACCTAATGGTTAAACATAGTTTAGCTATAAGAAGCTTTTACTTTTGTTAACTCAACAGTTTCTGCTTAAAACGTGTGCGAAGACAAGACATTTTTTACCGGACGTAAATTTGAAACCACTTCTACTGCTTAGAGAACAAAGTTTATGAAAGGGTTTTGTTCTATTTTTACCGCTCAAAAACATGTTTAAATATGATATGTACATTACTAGGGACATAGATGTTCCAAACGATTTTGTGTTTATTTTTTGTTTCGTGGTGCAATGTGTGTCCCCCGATATAAAGGAATTGTAATTTTGTGGTTCTCAAACTTTGTTACGACATAAGATGGAATTACTCAATATAAGGGAAAGATGCATTTGATTTTTTTACTGGGAAAGAAAATTTTATTTTAAAAATCTAGATTTTTAATAATAATTTAATTTTAATGAGGACTGATTAAATGCCCTTGGGCAATATAGAAGCAAAGGAAGATGTAAGTATTTTAGCAAAGCGGCATATGGCGACGCAGGTGGGGATTTTGACGTTCCGAAGATTAGTTCTAAATAAGTTTAGTTATTATCAGTTGTTAAAAGCCAATTAGTTAATGAATAGCTATGATGGTAACGTTTAACAACAGGAAAACAAAAGTTAACAGCATGTTAAGAGTTTCGAAAATTCTAATTAGAGGTCATTCATCACCATATTTCCGCAAAATGCAAAGAATTATATATGTTTTTGATATGTAAAAGTAATAAAACTATCCTAAAGGTTAAGCTCAATTTGGTAAGGCACAATAGATTTGATAGTGATACTGAGCCCCATAGTCACTTAAGCAATCTTCGAGAATTGAAAATTTGACAGTCACTTCCATATTAGTAACGGCTAAATATCGGATCATTCATCCGATCTTCACTCGCGCGGGGAAACATCGGATCACAGCCTACAGCAATCTTAGCCCTGTTTGAATCAGTTTTATCTGGCTATAACTTCATAAAACTTAGTATTCATACAAAACAATAACAAAAGAAGCAATATTCTCGCTAAAAATCGCAAATAAAGGTGACAGGGAAAGACCGGATGGACAAAAAAAATACAAAAATTACCTTGTTTTATAAAATGCCACGCAGCACATGCCCTATTTCTAGAAGCGACTGGCTGGAACTTGGGTTCGAAGCAGAATGAAATGGAGTCGTGTACCATATCGCTAGCATTTAAAAATATAGATAGCGTAATTCAAGAGACAATCATTTTTAGGCCCACTAGAAATTTTAGCGACATTGCATACATAGTATCACAGACAGGAAATGATACCAATTTATTATTATATATAGCCTAAACATTTTTTGAAAACCTAAACGAAATCAAGAAATGTGAAAAAAAATGAGTTGTTTTTGAAATTCGTGTTCAGATCATTGGTTCTGGTAATGTAATATTTAAAAAATAATTGTCTTAGAGATGTAAAACTAACTCGGAAAAAATCGACTAGACAAACTACTTTCTATTCTTCATATACTTTTTTTTCTAAATAAAGCCACACTGACAGTTTTTGTTTTGTTGTTTCATTGTTATGACTCATACTTTAAACAAACAAGTATATCATCATCATCATCATCATTACAGCCCTTCACAAGTCCACTGCTGAACATAGGCCTCCCCCAAGTATTGCCACAAAGCACGGTCCTGAGCCACCTGCATCCATCGACTTCCTGCATGTCTTACCAGGTCGTCACTCCATCTAGTGGGAGGTCGCCCAACACTACGCCTACCGGTACGAGGCTGCCACTCGAGAACCTTTCTTCCCCATCGATTATCGGTTCTTCGAGCTATATGGCCGGCCCATTGCCACTTCAGCTTACTAATCCGTTGGGCTATGTCGGTCACTCTGGTTTTACTGCGGATATCCTCATTTCTGAGTCTATCACGCAGTGAAACTCCGAGCATAACCCTCTCCATAGCTCGCTGAGCGACCTTGAGCGTCCTCATACGGCCAGCGGTGTACAAGTATATGTCAATCACCTTTTATGTTATGCACTGCTTATACGAAGTAACAAATAAATAATCAGAAATGATAGTACAACCACGTCCACGATATTATAAATCAAACTAAGTTCACACTTTTTTTACAACATGCCAGATGCAAGTTTGAATTTGGATGCAACCTGTGTGTGTCACCCACGGCGAGTACTAGTACAAGCAAATTTGTGAAGTAATATCTATCTAGCGCTCTACGAATCTATACGATGCGCCGAGTTGACTCGGTAACTCGATAAAATTTATTTTCACTCGATTACCGAGTTGGACAAATTCCCTCGATTCACTCGCGTGAAATAAAACATGGTTCGAGTTGTATCACTATGGTAAGAACAAAATAAAGTCTGTGATTATATCATTGAACTATTATGTACTACGTACTAGAGGTGACACTGCATTCAGCTACTCTGTTCCATTCAACTGCGGTACTTACACCGCACTTTAATCAGTCACTCGCTAGGCTCGCTAGCATGCTGTAGGAACTAGGAACAATGGTAATTTCATTTTCTAGTATTGAGTACAGCGCAATCTCTACCATAGATTTGGAAAGAAAAATGGTGTGTTTCTATATAAAATATATAATTATGGTTCATAAAAGATAGCTTGATCTCTGCGACAGCTGTCAGTAAAAATCACGCTTATGAAGTCCTGAATTTCTTAGTAGTACAGACAGTACCTGTCAATGTCATACTTTATGGGCATGCACTATTTGGTCGGAATTTTTTTATAAGGTGCCGGGATATTGTGTCAAATACAAATAAGTTAATTAAATAATTATCACAAAATTTTGTACAAAAATGATTAAAATAAAATTAAAAACTTAAAAGTAAATGTATGAATATGTTGCACTGTTTTGAAACGCGAAATATTTTTGTCAACTTTTCTTAATAATGGGACATTATTATTATTGCACTGGTAACATTTCAATTGCAAATGTCTCAATGCGTAGGACTGGCGGTTGCTTTTTAAGCATGGGCATTTTCAGTTTTTATGTGCAACGGTTACATAATCGATATCTAGTTTTTATATCGTTATTGAAAACCATTTTCAGATATCGATATCAATAGTAACGGTTTGCTACTGAATGTGCAAACGACAACTGAAACATAACCGCAAACTGTACTACCGGTGCAACATTTATTTTATGAATTACATAGATTATTCTAGATTAGAAGTCATAGGTTCTAACGTTATTGTTATCTTAGATGTAATATTTAAACATGTATTCTCAGACGAAATAAAAACTCAAGACAGAGCGCTGTCAACAATGAAGTGAGGTCGGTTTGGTAAACATGAGTGCACTAAGTGAGTGTTGCCGTGCAATATAAATTTATTACCCTTATATATTATAGTCTAAGTACTATCAGGATGAATGGATAAGTAAAAAGATAAGTTGGCAGTTTTTTTAATTGTATACCTCACTTTCAGAAGTAGTATGTATGTTTATTTCGACTAAGTAGGGGAAAAATAAAACAATAGTAATATGAAAGAAACATTGTTTTTATTTTTAATAGCCTTTTTGTTGGGTCAATTTTTTGTCCTTTATTTGTGTAATAAAAATCGTCATC